TCACCTACTGACTACACTGACAGCAATCATGAGTTTTTGAGGTATAAATACTCCTCACAAAAGGCAAGACGGTATGCAACAAAAAACCTTTGCTATAATACATACCCAGTGTTTTCTCCTTCATCTCTCTCAAAGACTGACTTGATCGTCGAAGGGGATACGTCGAAAAACACTCCGGCCCTTCTAACTTGTTCTTCTTTGTTCCAGGAACCTTTCTTCAGCTTTACTGGATCGTTCCTTTGATCCACGAAGGTCTCCCATTACCGTTCCAGGTTACCACAGGATCTCACAGGCTGTTCCAAGCAGCGTGGTTGACCACTCCACTGATTCGGTCGAGTTCACTAAGGGAAAGATCTGTTCTCGTTTTTATATTGTGCGAAATTTAGCACGCACTCCTCTCAAGATTTCATTCCCTCCAAAAATTTATGCACTCCTCATTTTAATTCTTCCCGTCAAATTAAATTACAACCAAAACATTCTATAAATAACCTACAACATTCATTCTCTTCTACAACATTTTCATAGAAATGAATCCTTCGGTGTATCTCTTGCTCAATTCCTTTTCATCTTCCTCTTCTTCATATTTAGTGATTTCGAGATTCATGAATTAACAATTCATGTCCATCTTTCATACAACAAACTGAATATCAGTGATTAAACAACAATCACCAATGATTAAACACCAATAACGAGAAATCATACAGCAACCTGAACACAAGTCTATGGATTGTAGCAATCATACAAACTTACCTACAGGTTTTATGTCCTCAAAGGACCGACGATTGATTCGGTTGTCGTCGATGATGGAAAAAGCTTTGAAGAGAGGCTGGGAGAGGTAGTCTGGCATTGAAGGATTTTTTTAGGTTTGGTTTAGATAAGGTAAAAAGTTACTGTTGAAAATTTGGTATACGATTTGGGTCTCCCTCAATTTGGATCCAGAAAAAAGGTTTTTCTTAATTTGATATAAGTTTAGGTTCAAAGTTGGAGAAGCTTTTTTGGACCATTTATACTCAAATTTAAATTTGAGTCTAAATTTGAGTCATAGTTGGAAATGTTCTAAGAAAGCTGAAAAGTAATAGGGTTGAAAAGTAGGATGAATATAGTTTCTTTCATTTCTTTGTATTTGGTAGGATGGATGGAAAATAAAAATGATTAATTTTTTTTTTTTGCGCTTTGTAAGATGGAAAATATATATATATATATATATATATATATATATATATATATATATATATATATATATATATATATATTTTTTTTTTTTTATTTTTTTTTTGAAAAATATAAATACATATTTATCATTATATTTATATATGAAATTAACATACACATAATATATGTATATCTCAAGTGATGCATAGACAAATAAGATACATATCAACACATAATTAATTTTGTATCCACTTTTCTTCCAATTTTAGAGGAATTGATTATGGTGAGTTGAAAGGAAAGCTTATTTATCCATTTTTTCATCCTTCCTAATTTCCTTATTTACCAAATATGAGTTTTATCTATTTGTCCATCTTTCCAACTTTTCATAATTCTATTTTTTCATCGTACCAAATGGAGCATTTATTGTGGCCATGAGTTCAATATGCGAACCTACTAGAGCGTCTAATTAATAGCCCACAAACAAGGCTTCTTGAGATGTGAAACTCGAGTATTTATATTTTTTTTAAGTTTTAGCGAAAAAAGTCACCAAGAAATCTTATTACCCTTCTTATGAAAACATCATTTATGTGTTTTGCCAATAATCATGCATACAACTACTTTCAATTTATTTAAAGTATTTTTTCTTGTATCTTTCGAAAGACATTAATCATATTATTCTTATGACCATGCTTCTACTCTTTATTATAAATTTTGGTTTCATTAGTTGTGTAAATTTGTAATATTTATCTCTCTATAGGGATACAAAAGAGTTTTTCTTTTGTGCAAAAGATGTAATAGATGTTTTTATGAAAATGGTAAAATTAAAACAAAACATAGAAGTGATAGAGTTTAAGACTTAATGGGAATAAATTCTAAAAAGTAAGATCTAATTATATTGCCAAAAATATTATGGAATTTAATGATTTTTCTTATTAAAAAACACTTGACAATGACTTTTCTTAATTTTTACTTAGTGGAATCTCCTTCTTTGGTACAAGAGGTCCTAGTCCAGTCCTGTTATCAAGACAAAATTATAAATGTAAAACTTAACCAATTAAAGAAATTTCTTATGAAAGTGTTAATCGTGCCCTATTATCTAATACTTAAATCGTACTATTTATAATTTATGAGTGTTTAAATCAATATATATCATAGTTGAACAAAAAGATTTCAAAAGAAGAAACTCCCCTTTTATTTGCATGACGGTATTGTGTTAAATTTGAATTGTTCAACAAATTGAACAAAATTATAGACTTATGCACTCAACGAAAAAAAGGGTCGTCCTTGGACATTAAGAAAAAAATAAAAAAATGTCCATATGACTCTGGTTCTAGTGAAATGGAAGAAAATATATTTATTCTCCAATTTTCACATAAAAGTACGGTGAGCCTGTGAAGTACATAGTTTGGTAGTTAAAGCAATTTTGTTATTTTTCTGTATCCATCCATCGGATGACAATTCTTTCGGTAGTTTTTGAGGAATTGATTCACTTTACATAAATTGACTGAACGCAAAAAACTTTCAACTGACAGACGATCGTATTTTTCATAGGATTTTTTGTGTTCCCCCAAGATTTTGAAATATTTAATTAACCCCTTTCTATTAATTTTTTTTTTTTGACTTATTTAATTACTTCCTCCGACTTTTGTAATTATTCTTACTATATTTTTAAATTATTTCAAATTTATTTCATTTTTTATATTTAATAAAGAGTATTTTAATTCAATAATTAATAATTTTTTAATAATATGAACCAATGTCGGACCGGTCATCGAACCGGTAAGAGGATTGGGTCAATAGTTCACTGGTTCAACCGTCAGGTCAACTAGTCGGACCTGTTATATAATAAAAAATTTAAAAATATTATAAAATATAATAATTTAGCAAAAAAGTATGAAAATATATCCACATTGTATATAATTTGTCCATAAAATTAATGAAATTAAGTATTAAGCGGATTAAAAAAAAGACATAACAAAGTATTTTCAAATAAATAAAAATCCCATGCAGGAAATAAAAACAGATTAAAAGAGGGGACAGAAGAAAGCAAATACAAAACAAAGTGTAAATACTCTGAATGTAGTAAATACAAAACCTAGCAGGCTGTAAGTGCAAATACTTATGTACTGTCATGGTGATGTTTATTTCTCTTTCTTGTTTCTATGTACTGACATGGTGATGTTTGGTGATATTTTTAGGAATAGATGAAACCAAACAAATCAACACTTTTATTTCATGAGAGAAAAATTACATTTTTGGAAAAAAAAAAA